AAATGCTTGCAATCATTAGCCATTAAACCAAAAACAAAATCTACTGCCATTGAGTCAGTTCTGACTCATAGCGACTCTATAAGTGGAAGTGTCCCACTGGGTTTTTAAGGCTGTAAATCTTTACAGAAGTACACTGCCTAATCTTTCTCCTGTGGAGCAGCTGGTGGGTTCAAATCACCAACCTTTTGGGTACCAGCTGAATGCCTTAACCATGCATTACCGAGCTCATCCATTAGCCATGAGAGATGCAAGTCGAAACAACAATGAGATATCATCTTCCCCCAGCACTAATAACAAAGTTTTTTTTAAAAAAAAGCTAGCAAAAGTTTTGGAGAGAGTGGAACCCTCATACATTACTGGTGGGACTGTAAAATGGTGCAACCACTATGGAAAATGGTATGGTGCTTCTTTAAAAAGCTAAAATAGCAATACCATATAATCCAGCAATTCCAGTACTAGGAATATATCCTAGAGAAATAAGAGCTGTGACACACAAACAGATTTATGCACACCCATGTTCATCATAGCAGCATTTACAATAGCAAAAGGATGGAAACATCCTAAATGCCCATCAATGGATGAATGGATAACCAGACTATGGTACATGCACACAATGGAATACTATGCAACATTAAAGAATATGATGAATATGTGAAACATCTCATAACATGGATGAACTTAGAGACCATTATGGTGAATGAAATTAGTCAATCACAAAAGGGCAAATATTGTATGTGCCCACTATTGTAAAAGCCAAGGAAAGGGTTTCATAAAGAAAGAAATAATCTTTGATGGTTACCAGGGGTGAGTTGTGAAGGAAGGGCAAACAAACAAACAAAAAGAAAATTAGGAGTCTGAAGTAAGATGTTATGTGTGAGAAGGAGCTCTAGTGGTGCTATGGCCAAGGCATTTGGCTGCTAACCAAATGTTGGCGGTTTGAACCCACCGGCAGCTCCTTGGAAGATGAGGCAACCTGCTTCCGTAAGGATTTACACACTTGGAAACCCTATGGGTCACTTCTACAGGGTTGCTATGACTCAAACCGACTGGATGGCAGTGGGTTTGTTTTGGTTTTTTAACTGTAAAATACATACCATATTTCAATGTCTTAGTAATAAAAGGTCTCTGGGTGGCACAAATGGTTTGTTTTTTGCCATGGATTTTTACCTTAAACATAAATAAATGTTTAGGTCTGCCACGCATAAACTAGTTTAGTTTATTGCAAGGTAGGCAAGGCACACAAGTAAGACCTCAAGACGTCCATTTAGAATTGGAAAATCAAAATGAACAATTACAATTACACTGTTAGTTTAATGGTTTGAATCCCAGTCCTCAGACTTCAGGTTTTTACCTTTTGAGTAGTTTCAGGAGGAAGGCTTGACCACAGTTCATACTTGATTTGAGGTCAGTGGTGGCACTGGACGGAATCTCAGTTCCGAGTCTGTCTTCAGAGACTCAGAGTGTAGGAGGAGGTTCCATCTCTGTCTTCTCTCAGTGAGTGAGCAGAAATCCAGTGTTAATATGTGAAATTCTCACCTCGGCCTCACACAGGAAAGGCCAGTGTGACGTCAAAGACTAGTATGTCTTTTCTCCAGGGTTAGAGAAGCCAAATGTCACATCTTTTTTCAAAGTTGGAAATTAGGGAGGTTGTTTAGATGTATGTCTTGAGGCTATTTTACGATGATTAACTATGCTGTTTTATCACAGCACACCAGGTCAAAGTCAACTTCAAGGTTATTTACCTTCACATATTTCTATGTCTAAGCTCAAAAATTTTCTAATAATGACTTAGAGGTTTCTAATAACTTATAGTTAATGTTAGAGAGCCTCACAAAGATAGACTTATTTCTTAAGTTCATTTATGAGTGCTTGCTTATACATACGTATTTTGCGAACATCATAGTGACTTACACCTTACGCGATTTGAGAGCATCACAGAAACACACTTCTAACTTAAAGGCTGGTGATTCAAACCCACTCTGAGACGCGATGTTTAGAAAGGACTGGTGATCTGCTTCCATAAAGATTATAGCCAAGGAGCTCTGGTGGCATAGTGCCTAAGGCACTTGACTGCTAACCAGAAGCCTAGCAGTTCAAACCCACCAGCCACTCCTCGGAAGGAAGGTTGGGCAATCTACTTCCATGGAGATACTGCCTCGAAAATCCAAGGAGGGGTCACTATGGGTCAGATGCAATTCGATGGCAGCGAGTTTGGTTTTTGTTTTTTTTGTGATCTGCTTAGCTCTACTCTGAAGCACATGATTACATGAGTCAGAAATGACAGAGATGGGCTTGGCTCTCTTTTTTTTTTTTAGTAGTAAAAAGGATTGTATAATCTCCCATTAATTATTTGTATATTGATTACATATTGAAGTGATAATATGATAATATTTTGCCTATGTTGAATTAAATAAATTAAAGCATTCAAATTAATTTTACTTGTTTCTACTTTTTAAATGTGACTACTAGAAAATTTTAAATTCCACTCGTGGCTTGCATATTTCTATTGGACAGAGCTGTTCTACAAGTCCATGTGGCTTACTTCCTCACTGTAATTACTGTAATTGCTATAATGGCACAATTATAATGCCAACTGTCTCCCTGATACTCTCCCCTACTACTGTATTTAAATTGCATAGCCTTTTTCCCCTTACCCCCTTTATTCTTCTCCTTAACACTCTGATGTACTATACATTTCACTTACTATTTTATTTATTGTATTATTATTTAGTGGGGGAAAACCCCACTAAAATGTCAGCTCCACAAGGACAAGGATTTTAGTCTCTCTTGTTCATGGCCACATTGCTGGTTCCTTGGCTCATAACAAGCACTCAGTCAGTATTTGTTAAATGAGTGAACAAATTATATAGATTTGCTCCATCATTCAGACTATTGGGCCAATACTGCCAAGACTCTGCCCACCCTATTCACTGGTCATCCCAGAGAGACCACAGTTCCTTGGCAAAGGGTAGAGATTTGGCTTGGCATGGAAAACTGAATGACAGACCCAGGTTTGCGTCCTGACCTGGCCCTCAATCTAAAATTTCTGTGCACTCTGCTACCAATCTTCCTAGGATCACCTCACAAATAAACTATGTGTGCTTGAATCTTTGTCTCAGGGTTTTGGGGAACCAAACCCAAGACAGGCTGATTCATAAGTTCTGTGCTCTGTGCTCAAAGCCAAGAGGTCTGTGGAAACTGGCAGCTGTGCTCAGGGAGGGGGCTGTCCAGACACATCAGAGCCTTATCTTAGATTCTGGGTACTTGAGCACCCCATATCCTCACACATCATTTAACTGTCACCATTTATCACACATGTCTGGGCTATGGACTCAGGTTGGAGGGGGACCATTGACATAGCTAAGCACCAGGTAGGGCGTCCTCGCCAGCCAGCTGTGAGAGCAGCAGAGACCCACTGAGACGGGCAAGAGCAGCGTGACACCCACCAGGAGGAAAAAAAGAAGGAAGAGGAGGAAGGTCAGAGGCCACCTGGACACAGGAGCAGGGGCTCTGCAAAGGGAAATACAGTTTTAGCTATATGGTTTGGACTTTCCCCAGAGCCCTGGCCCCACACCCCCAAACCCACCTCCCAGGCATCTCACCCTGGATCCACCTCCAGCATCACATCCTGGGGACTGAAGGACGCTTGCTTCTTCTTGTCCTAAAGGTAGACAGCAGCCAATAGCAGGACGGATGGAAGTAACACTTAGTACGCACTTTCCCTTTACCACTATAGACCTAAGAGGCCCTAGCAACACAGAGGTTAAAGCATTCAGGTGCTAACCACAAGGTCAGTGGTTTGAACCCACCAGCTGCTCTACAGGAGAAAGATGAGGCAGTCTGTTTCCATAAATATGAGGCAGTCTGTTTCCATAACGTTTTACAGCCTTGAAAACTCTATGGGGTTGCTGAGTCATAATGGACTTAATGGCAGTGGGTTTTTTGTTTTTGGATTACAGACCTACAGGGCTGGCCTTATTTTTCTTCCTTTCTTAGCACTCCCTCTATACCTAGAATATCTCCAAGTGGGATGGATATTCTGTTTGTGTTTGCCCTAACTGTACTCTATTTTTCCTGTTAACAGTGGTTCAATTGAGGGAGGAGGGTAGTCAGGCCTAAAGGTTCAGCAAGTGAGCTGATACCACACATCCCCCAGCCCATGACTGGACGTGTGATCCAGATCTGACCAATCAGCACTCCACTAACCTGGCCACCATAGGTCAGGGTACAGCCCAAGACCCAAGGTGGGCAATTGGACCATGGCTGTTGTCAAGGTAAGAGACACTCTTCTTCCCGCAGGGTGAGTAAACCAGTGGGAAGTGAATGTGTAGTTACTGAGGCAGTCATTTTTTTCTGAGAAGGAAGCCATCTTGGGGAAGTGGTGCTGAAAGAGAGTGGGACTGAGTCTTAATAGCATTTGAGGTCCTGAATTCAGCACTGTGTGGACTTCTCAGTTACATGAAGAAATACCATCCCCTTCTTCGTGTAATTCAGTTTGGGTTGGTTTGCTGTCACTCGCCATCATGATTTCTAAGTGATATACCTGGCTGAGGACCAGCTTACCTGAGGCTTCTGGATCAAGGAGCGTGTTTGGTGATCTGATAGATGTTTCCAGTGGCTGAGGCCCAACATGAGCATGTCCTGTGAGAAGAAGGAGGTTCAGGATCCCTGGAGAGCATGAGGTTGGAGAGGGCCTGAGATATGTGTGTGCTGGGGGCAGGGGGTCATAGAGATGAGATTTTGGGGAAGAGAGAGATCTCAGGAGGGAAACAGAGAGGGGCAGAGTCAACGTAACCAAGAGAGAACAGACGTTATTTATTTATTCATACAACAAATATTTAATGAGGGTCTATTACATGCCAGGCACTGTTCTAGGAGCTGGTGACACAATAGGGGTTGAAACAGGCAAAGTCCCAGTCACCGTGGAACTTATATTCCAGTGGAAGAAAGCGACCATAAATTAATTAATTAACATACAATGTCCAAATGTGGTAAGTGCTGTTAGGAAAAAAGGTAAGACAATTAAGAAATGATGGTGTCTGATGGCCAGGACAGGTCTCTCTGAAGAGGTAGCCTTTGAGCAGAGACTGGAATGAAGTGAATAGGTGAGCTAGGGATGCATCTGGGAGCTTCGAGATGGGAAAGAAAGTCTGAAGAAGAGCCAGGTGGCTAGTTAGTTGTAGTGGGGTAAGTGATGGGGAGTATGAAAAGAAATTAGGTTTAAGATGGAGATGGAGACAGATGGGAGAGGGAAACAGAGACAAAGATGTATGGAAGCAGTGAGAAAATCATTGAGACAAAGACAAAAAGGGACATTCAGAGATCGAGACAGAGGGAAAGACAGAGACATCAAGACCTCCTTGAAAGGGAAGGACCCTGCTAGGAGGCACACAAAGATGCTCTGTGGTGACTGATGGGGGTGCTTCCCTGTTCTTACCTCAAGGTCTTGTCCTCTGCCCCGAGGGCCCCTGTGACCACACAGCTCACAAGGGGCCCCTGGTGTCCAAGCTTCCTTTCGGCCCAAGGGCCCAAGGCCCCCCACATCCCCTGCTGGGTCCCACTCAAGCTCTGCAGGGATGGAGAGGCCACTGGGTGCCCAGGGTCCCCAAACCCCACCAGGTCCTGGGCCATCTGAGTCCTCTTCAGTCTCCAAGTCCTGGTCCAGCCTGTTAGCCTCCTCAAAGACCTGGATCAGAGGACAGATGTCACAGGCGTTGGGAATGGGGCCCGGGCTGGGCACCACCAGGGTCGGGCGTACCACACTACAGCTGACCAGCTTGGCCTGCAACTGCCACAGCCACTGGAAGATGCTGTCTCGGTGGGCTCTGAGGACCCTCAGGACTTGTTCCAGGGGTGTCGGGGCCTGAAGCTCACGTCGCTGTGCCAGCACCTCACTGAACGCCAGCAGGGCATCCACATACTCGGCTGCCCCATGTAAGTCCGCCTGTAGAGCCTGGGGACAACACAGTCTGACATCACCCCCACATAGACTAGGGGGCCCAGACACTTGGAATCTGGAGTAACACCCCCATTTCCTATCCAAAGTCTTGGAACATAGAATGACCCCTTATTTCCCACCCCAAGGAGCTTGCACCCACCCCTCGGGCCCTGTCCACCTTCCCACATCTTGGCTTCCTGCATGCCCACCTGTAGCTGAACCATCCCACTCCGGGATGATGCCCAGGGTCCCAGACCTTGGTCCAGTTCCTGCAGCTGGAGGCCCAGCCCACACAGGCAGAGGTCCTGCTCAGCCTCCACTACCTCGCAGCCAGAGGTGAGGTGCTAGGAAATATAGGAAGCTGAATCAGGGCCAGTGGGCTAAGACCCCCACTGCCATCTCACTTCTGTAGGCTTCTTCCTTCTGGATCCTTTCTCTGCATTGGAGTCCATCTCTAGGACTGCACCAGGGCTGGGCAATTCCAACCTGGGATCCCTTCCAGTGGAGCCAGATTTGGGGACCTCTAGTTCTAGGTCTCCTGGTTTTCAAGGCTCCTAACAACTTGGATATGCTGGGCCTGGGGGTTTCGACAGGGAGGGAGTGCTGGGGCTCTACCAGGGCCAATGTTGAAATGTTTCTTTCCTATTTGGTAAAATACTGAAATGCTTCTACACTGGGAGCTCTGATAGCGTAGTGCCTAAGGCACTGGACTGCTAATCAGAGGGCTGGCTGTTCAAACCCACCAGTAACTCCTTGGAAGGAAGATGGGGCAATCTACTTCTGTAGTGATACTGCTTCGGAAACCCAAGGAGGGGTCACTATGAGTCAGTCGGTCTGACTCGGATGGCACATAACAACAACATCAGCTTCTACACTGGTTGGTAAAGAACCATTTCCCCTAGTCCCTCAATGACTCTCCCCCACAGATCCACAGATTTTCCAGAATCAGCACCTCAACCCTGGTGTGAAGGTTGGATTCTAGGGGACAAAGTGGAGGCTGGCACAGGAGGCCTGGGTCACTTCAGCTCACCTCACAGGGTCTGCCTTTGGCTAGGTCCTCATGGGAAGAGGGAGTTGGCAATCTGGGGGCACTGGCGGCAGGCTCATCACCTCTCAGTCCACCCTGCAAGTGCTCAAGAGCGTCCAAGTTCTGCCCCAGTTTCGGGGCCTGCTCTGGCCTGCAAAGCAGGGGAATTTGATGGGCCTCTGGGTGAGCCTTGATGCTCCCATTACCCACCCGACCCCACCCCACTCCTGTCCCAGAACAGCATCTCCAAGGGCTCACAGCCACTGCACTCCCTTCCCTCACAAGGCCCTTGCCCCTGCCCCCACCCACTTGGGACTCAAGTTTCAAAAGCCCCAGCCCCCACCTGCTTTTCTCCTTTTCAGTTGCAGAGCAGATGGCGCCTTCAGCAATGTCCGGTTCCCCAGGGACTCCAGGGGGATGGGTGAGGGTCTCTGATGGGGGTCTAGGGTCTGCAGGTAGGGGCAGGGCCATAGGTGGGGGCCTGGGGACAGTCAGGTGAAGACCCCCAGTAAGACTGCTTTCTCTAGCCCCAGAGGTCCTCCCAAGACCTCAGCACAGCTTACCTTGGCCTGAGGCAGTCAGCGCACAGGTGCAGGCCTGGCTCCACCTCATCCAAGGGAACCTGGACCCTGTAACCTGATGCCCAGCTCAGGTGACTGCAGCACCACTTAACTCCTTCCTCCCCAGATTCGGTAGGAATCTCCCGAGCCCATCCCACTCCATTCTAAGAGGGTTCTGGATACAATCCTGCAACGACCCCAGGACCCACCCCACCCATTTTAAGGTCCCCGATGCAATGTCCCTCAAGACCCGAGCATCTAGCCCCACCCACAAAAACCAAAACCAATGAAAGATATTTTTGGTTTATTTGTAACAGGATATTTTTTCTGTGGTTTCCACAAAGTTATCAGGAAAATTAATGCCAGGGAACCCCTTCTATCTCAGGGTTCCAAGGTCACAGGGTCATGGCCGGCCCTAGGGGTAACCCGGGAATGCCTTTGAGGTCCATGAGGTCACTTGCTGAGGAGGAGGCTGGCACGCAGCACGCGGGGAACGCGGCGGATGGTCAGTGAGACGCGAGTGCCACGGGCCAGGCGCGCTCCGGGCCGCGCCAATGGGCAGGCGGTTGCATTGGGTGGCAAGGAAGAGGCATCCAGGGCGTCTACACGGGTAGCCGCGATGCCGTGGAGGAGGCGGGTGTAGGCGGTCCCACGGAGCACCAGCAGGCTGCGCGGTTCGAGCAGCAGCGAGGTGGTGGGCTTGGGTGGGGGCCGAGGCTGCGCATCAAAAGGAGGGTCAGCTGGCCCCAAGAGGTGGGGAGGGGGAGAGATCAGCTGATTTCCTGGCCAGCTGAAAGCTTGGTTGCAAGCATTGGGGATTTGGCTGCCAGAGTGAAAACCAACAGGTACTGGGACCAGGTTGGGAAAGTGGACATGAGGGGCTCAGCAGTTTCTTGGGAGGAGGGGAATTAGGCTGCAGCTGGGCTGGGACCCAGGATCAGCTGCCCCCAGGACATCAGGTAAGTGGGGCTGAGAGAGCATGGCCAAAGCCAGGACCTGGCAGGGGCAAGAGCAAGCCCCGAAGAGCAGACAGTGCATCCCGGGGAGTTTCTGAGAACATGGGGGGGGGGGGCAGTCAGAAGTGCATCACCCAGAAAAAGAGGTCAGGAAGCTTCTGTCATGGACAGAGGGGAGTCAGGATACCTGGGGGGGCGGGGCCCTACGCAGCAAGTCATGTATCTAGATGCCAAGGAGAATCTGGGAGTGTCCTGCACCACAGACTGCATTATAGGAATGACAGGGTGGATGTCAATGTTGGGGTACCCTGTGCAGCAGACTGAGTCCAGGTAGGTGTCTGGGATGATGCTGGAACACTCCGTGACTGAATGGTATCAGGGTATCTGAAAACACTGAAGAGTCTGTCAGGGTACTGGGGAACTCCACATGGAGTGTGTGTAGACCTTGGGGCTATTAGAACACTGTGAATGGGTGGGGTCAGCGGATGTGTGGGGTGTTAGGGGTGTCTGTGAATATGATGGTGTCCAGGGAACTCTGCAAGCAGACAGATGAAGGTATCTGGAAGGGTGTGGGTACATGCCATGAGGGGGCAGGAAGTCTGTGGGAGGGTGTCAGGGGTACCCTTCAAGCAGGAGAATGGGAGCATTTTGGAGGATACGGGATGTCAGAATTCCAACACTGGCTGGGGCAGTGTGTCAGGACCCACCTCCTCTGTAGCTTTGTAATCATCCTTTGCCTGCCGTGGCTCATAGAGATCCAGCATGGTGTGGGAGCCCAGGCTGATGGTGCTGATGGTCGGGTAGTACAGTGGCCCATCCTCGTGGGGCTGGGGGGTGGGCACGAGGGCTGGCAGGGCAGGCGTCCACACACCCCCACCCTCTAGGATTAAGGGGGGCTCCCAAGCTGGGGACAGGGAGATGAATGCCTGGTTGGCTTATGTGGCCAAGTGACAAATGTGGAGGGTGGGGAAACATGATGCCTGCACCATGGCGGGTCAGAGGTCTAGGGGGATGCAGGTTACCATGGGGCTGGAGTGAGGGTGTGTTACCATGATGCCCTCCCCAGGCAGATACTGGTTCACAAGGACATGGTTGGCTGGGAGACCCCCAAAAAGGCTGAGGTCAGACACTTTATCCACGTAACGCTGGAGCCACAGGGGTAGCCGCTCAGGGACCATGCCCTGGGGATGAGGGAGCCCACCTGGAGGAAGGCAATGCAGTCCTGAGGGCACCCACCCAACGAGCACTGGCACCTGAGGTCCCACTGGTGATACCCCAGTGGTTGTCAGCACCCTGACCCACTCAGGTAATGCTGAACCTTCAGAGATCACCCGATCCTTGAAGATTTCTTGACTTCTCCAGACCCCTGGACCCTTTGAGATGCCCCAACGCATCAGGAAATATTTAACCCCTCAGGACCTCCACTGACCTTTCAGAATCTTCCTGAACCCTTAGGATGCCTTGAACTCTCAGAGACACAATCTGACCTCAGCCCCATACTCCAGGCTCACATCCCCAAATCACCTCTGTTCCTAACCAGGGCCACTTACCCCAGTTCTGTAACTTCCTCCCAGAGAGCTGGGTCCACTTTGGCTTTGGGGCATTAGAGACCTAGGAAGTGAAGAAAAAGGTTATTCCTTTTGTAGGACCCCTCCCTGATCCTCCTACCTAGGTCAACATGGATGCCTTTACCTGGGGTATTGCAATATCTGTAGGATTGTTCTTTAGGATAGTGTGCTCCTAGGATTTTACTGTTTACCTTCTTCCTTGGACAGGCCTCTAGCCCCAAAGCCTACCTGTGTCCACTGGGTCTGAGCTGTGCAATCATGGTCTGAATCGAGACAAAAGCTGTGGGGGCTGGACTGGGTGCTTTCAGCCCAGCAAATAGTTTGCACCCTGTAATTTCCTGATTCCTGAGCTATCTTGTTGTTATGTGCCATGGAGTCGGACCTGACTCATAGCAACCCCTCCTTGGGTTCCCAAGGCAGTATCACTACGGAAGTAGATTGCCCCATCTTCCTTCCGAGGAGTGGCTGGTGGGTTTGAACTACCAGCCTTCTGGTTAGCAGTCAAGTGCCTTAGGCACTATGCTTCTGGAACCTCCTTGTTCCTATTGCCTGAAGGAGGGAGTGTGCTAAGCTGGGCTGTCTCAGCACAGTGAAGAGAGTATGTACTTCGAAAATCTTTTGCTGCCAAGATCCCAAGGGCCTAGAATGGGCTAATCAGTACAAAACATCCACACTCTAGTCTATAATCTCGTGCACCTCATGGCTGTAGGACTGGACTAGGCTATTTCAACCCAGGGATTCTAAGATATGTCAAGAACCCAAAGCTCTGGAATAGACCATCTCAGCACAAGAGTCTCTGGTCTATAGTCAGTGTGTTCCTGGGGCTCAAGCTAGACTGGGACAGCCCAGCACAGAGAACTATCCGTGCTCTGTAACCTCATTCTTAAAGGTATGGGGCTGCAAAGGGCTGTCTCTGGGCAAGGACTCTGACCTTTCTAAATTCTTTTCTCCCAGATTTTAGTATAGACTGGGCTATCTCAGCAAGGCAGTCTGTGCTTGGTAACCTTGTTCCTAAGACTCTGGGCCTATGCCAAGATTCAGCATAGGGAACAATTTATTCTGTAACATTCTGATTCCTGGGCTATCTCAGAATAGAAGTCGGAACATTAAATTTTCCATTCCCTAAATCTCAATGCTATCTCTGTCAGCTTATGTTCATAGGCTTCTTTTCTCTACAGCAGCAGGATTGGGCTATCTCGGCACACGGAGCATGAGTTCTGTAATTTCCTGGCTCCTGAGACTCTGGGGTTGCACTGGGCTATTCCAGCACAAGGAATATAATCTCAATAATACTTTCATTTTGGAGGCTAGACTGGGCTATTTCAGCTTAGGAGTCTGAGCTCCATAATAACCACCTTCTTTCTAAGGAACTCTGATGACATAGTGGGTGGGTAAGGCATTTGCCTGCTAACCAGCAGGTAGGTGGTTCAAACCCACCAACTGCCCTGCAGCAGAAGATGAAGCAATCTACTTCTGTAAAGACTTACAGCCTTGGAAACCCAATGGGGGTCGCTATGAGTTGGAATCGACTCGATGGGAGTGGGTTCTAAGATCATTCTGGTTTCCCTAGGCCTCCTGGAAAAATCTCATCCCAACAGGTCCTGAGAGAGGAGTAGGGAAAGTGGGGGATGGGTGCTGTGTGGCATTCTCCTTCCTATCAGGTCTTCACTGCAGCTCTGGGGACTCACATAGGGGCTTGGGAAGAGGGATCTGGGAAGGGGGGAAAACAGACCAGGAGGGCATTGGGGTCACCTGTCGAAGCAAATAGTCCTCCTCTTCTTTGGAGATGAAGTCAGGGACATAGTAGATTACAGGTGGTGCCTGGGACAGAGAGACAGCACTCCTCCAGATGTGCCCTTCAACCCCCACCAGAGTCCTATCACTGTTGAGCAGCACATCCCACTAGGGGAGGGCTCAGGATATCCCCACAGGCTGGAGTCTGAAGTCTAGGGACAATGCCCACTGAGGAGAAGAGAGCTGGACCCTGGGGGTAAGAATGAATTTGGAGAGAGGGGGCAATCCCAGCCCACATACCCAGGAGTCAGCCCGTCTATCCTCACCTCCCACCCCCGCCCGTTAGTCCCACCTTCACCCTCTGCACCCCTCAGTCTGACAACCTGCTCCACCCTGAATGGTTCCAAGGCTGGGACCCTGGCATCCTGCTCCTCCATTGACACCAACTCCATGCACCCTGTCCTGTGGGAAGGGGAAGGGGAAGTCACCAAGCCTCCTGCCCTCAGGCCATTATCCTGCCCTTCGCCCCACCTCAGCCCTTTTGAGAAACTCATTTGGTCTCTACAACCTGACTCCTCAGTATCGCCAAAGCCACACAGTGAGCGCCTAGGCTCCCTGCCCCGCACAACGCGCAGCCAGAACAGTCCCGTGCATTCTGTCCACACTCTCAGGCCCCTCAGAGAACATTCTCTGATCCCCACACAGGAGTCACTCGGAACACCTTTAAGCATCTCGATTTGAGACTTCATCCTAACAACTTCAGACTTGCAACCATGAGCCCGGCACTCTAACTACTCAGGGCCCCCATGAACCGCCGCCCCCACAAGCTGGCCTCAAGCTTCTTCAGCTTCCCCACTCTGATTCCTCTTATAGCCCAAATTGAAGCCTCCTCGAATCCCTCCCCTCTGGACCTCCTCAGACTTCCCTTCCCCCAGCACCCCGCTCACCTCAGCACCGCTGGACCAGCCTTCAGCCCGATCGATCGCTCTCATACCCTCGTTTGTCCCCGAACCCCTCGGACTCCCCATTGAGTCTTCTAGGATCTCATACCCTGAGCCTCCCCGCACTCCCACTCCCACACAGAGCTGCCCCGAATATCCTACTCTCAGCCCTCTCAGCCCCCTATCTCCAACCCCGACCACCTCCAACACTAACCGTTCACCACCGTGCCCCCTCCAGTTTCCAAATTCAACACCTCCCAACAATTCCCATCCACTTCCGCCCCACGTTGTGACGATAGAATCTTCAGACCAATGGAAACTCTCAGAGACCAAACGTGTCCGCCTTCCACCCAATCGGCGATCTCACTCAGTATTCTCCCGCCTCTCCACCTTCGTTTAGGGGTAAGCTGCACTTCCAGGCTTCTGAGCCACTGGGAACCCCATCTCCTCGCACCGGCCAATCAGGGTTCCAGAAGCGAACGTATCCATGCCACTGAGGGCCTAGTTACGAGGGGCGGCTTCGCAGCCGCGGGAAAAACACGGGAGACTATGAATTCCGCCGGCGAGACCATCCCGTGGCCATGCCCCAGGGAGGCGAGACTGAAGGAAGCTTCCTCTCACATCCTCCCTCAGCAAGGGTACAGAAGCAACGCTACTAACTTCCCACTGAACTGACACAGAGGCCATAGAAACGTCTTTATTGAAGGGGCAGGGATCATGCTGAGTTTGGGGTCATGCAGTGAATGGGCAGTCGAGAGCTGTCCTTGATGGTCAGGGCCCCAGGGCTGCCCAGGACCCCCTGGGCCTTCAGTTTCCCCCTCATGATGTTTGTTTGGCCCAGCTGCTTGTGGGGTCCTTTAGGGATTCAGATTTGGTGTCTTGGACCTGTGACCAGAATGTAGTTTCAAACAGGGGCTTCAAAATTGGGGATTCTCTCAGGGCCCTGGGGCCATCCATGGAGGCTTTAGGATTTGGGGTTCCCTTGGGGCTGAGGCTCTTGGAATTTGAGTGTCTTGAGATCCATGGACTCTGCATTGGACTCTTTGTTTCCAAGGATGAGAAGTCTTCTGCCAGGGGTGCTGGGGCCTATGAATAGGGATCGAGATGCCCTGGGAGGCTGGAATGCATATCCCCAGACTGTAGTCTCCTCCACCCTAGGTACAAGGACCTCCATGATTAGGGTATCCTGGGAGTTTAGGATTGGATTTTTAAATTTGGGATTCCCTGGGGATTTGGGGTATCTGGGAGTTAGGGCTTTGGGGTCTTTTTGGGGCTGCAGGACTTGGGAACATAGGGGAGTTTGGGACATATGTATTCTGGGGTTTAGGATCTCCAGAGGCCTAGAATGGGGCCTCCAAATTTTGGGGCCCCCCAATAGGGGAAGTTACTAGTTTAAAAATAGACTTTTCTGGGAACTTGGCCAGCACAGGGGCTGTGGGCCATGTGGGGTGGGCTTCATACAAGGCACTGGGGGTTTCTTGAGGGGGCAGAGAGTAGGAAGACTTGAGGGTCCTGTAATTAGCACTTCCAGGACTGTTTTGGTGTCTATAAATTGGGAGTGACAGTGGGCTGGTTAATGTGGGTCTCTTCTTAATGGGCAAGAACAGGGGTTTGTTAATGGGTCTCCAATTGGGGGTTGGAATATGAGGACTTAGGGGTGACTATGGGAGTCACAAAATCTCAAGAGTGCTTATGTTAAATGGGGGATAGTGACATGAAGGTCATTACTCTTCTGACTTGTGTTTATTTCAAGTGGATTTGGGGAGGTCTTTGTTTAATGGGAGGGTTTCTGATTCAGTGATGAGTGACTAAAGAAAGACCTGTTGTATTATGTGGAGAGGGTCAGTCACTTGGGTTAATGTGGAAATCTGTTAATTGGGGCGGGGAGTCTGCTGTGAGGGGTTGGGGAAGGGGAATAGCCTGAAGGTGCTATACTCAGGGAATCTCTGGGTGACATGGGGGTCTGTATTTGGGGGGTTATCATGAGGGAATCTGTTAATAATGGGAACCTCAGTGATTGAGGGTTGGCTAATGGGGGTTTCTATTCTGGATGTTACTGGGGATCTCTATCTCAGGGTGACTTGGGGTTCTCCTCATCTCAGGAGACACTAAAGGGGGCTCTGTGTCTCTCTGTCGAGTGTGCAGGGCCTCTAAGACTGCATCTCCGCCCTCAGCATCCAGGGAAACCAGCAACAGAAGAGCAACCTAGAAAGGAGAACCAGATAGGATCTGGTGAGAAATCCAGGAACGTCTGCATCCATCAGCCTCTAGCAACTCCAAGGATTCGGAATTTAGCTTTTTTGGATTCTGTCTTTACCTCTCTGGCTGTGCCTTCTCAGGCTTGTAAGGGAAGAGGGGAGGACAGGAAGGAGAGGCAGAGTAGTCTGCTGCCTCTATTTGCCCCTTAAAAGTTGAAGTCACTGAAAGCCAATGTGGGGCCTCATTCCGTAAAGACTCTTTCTGGGTAAGCTTACCTACTTACAAGTTATCCTAACCTGTCTGCAGCCTCAAGGAGCTCTGGTGGTGCAGTGCCTAAGATATTTGATGGTTAACCAGAAGGCTGGTGGTTCAGACTCACCAGCTGCTCCACGGAAGGAGATGGGGCAATCTACTGCCACAGAGATTTACCACCTTGGAAACACAGTGGGGGTCACTATGAGTGGAACTGACTCAATGGCAGTGGGTTTAGGTTTTGGATCTCTAGCCTCAACCTCTCTCCTGAGCTCCAGACCACAGAGACCAGCAACTTTGTGGGTGCCTTTTCCTAAATATCGCACAGAAGAGGGGGTCAGGGGTTGGCCACACACCTGGAGATAGAGTTCTCTGATGTGATGTCCTTTGGGGTACGGACTGTTGTGAAGGTACGTTTGGGCTGCATCACTAGAGAGGAAGGGAGGGCAGGGTCTTAGGTGAAGGGATAACAGATGGAGCCCCCTATCACCCCTTTTACCTGATGTACCCTTCTGGCTCAGACACATGGATCCTTCAGACCTGTTCAGACCCTGTAGTTGCAAGCCGCTCACAGATCCTGGATTTGTAACACCCACCTTGATCCTTGTCATTTATACTCACTAAGACCCCACTTCCCTAGTACCCACACAGATCCTACATAATAAACACCCACTCACCCTGTTACGGAACTTACTCTTATCCCCAGTACTTACCCAGACTCCTTGTCATTGACATCTACCCATGTTCCCAGTACTGGCCTAAACCCCATTTGCCTACCCAGACCCCTTGTTATTAAGCCACCTGTGTCCTTGGTGCCCACCCAGACTGCTTGTCTTTAATACCTATCCATGTCCCCATTACCCACCTGAACCCTTTGTCATTAATCCTTACCCATGTTCCCAGTACCTACTTGGACCTCCTGTCTCTATTATCCCCCTCATTAGTACTTACCCATGTCCCTGATACCTATTGAGCCCATGTTCCAAATACCTCCCAAAACCTTGTTAACATCCCCAGATCCCATAGCACCTACTCACTTTGGGACCCTGTATAATCATTTTCCTGAACCCTATGTCCCCAATTACACCAGTATACCCCCTGAGAACCTTCTTCCTACCCTCAGACTTACACTCATCCCCACACCCCAGATCCCCACTCACTTGTCACTTGATGCACTTTTTTGGCTACAGTGCTGTCCCCAGGGGGGTCAGTGGATCCACCAATCCTGGGGAGACATGGAGAAGGGAGGAGTCAGAGCCACAAGAGGTGGGTCTGACTAGGAGCTGAGCCCCAGAGCATCTGTGAGCAAAGAGCTAGGGCGTCAGGGGGTATCCACACTGCCCTCATGTCCAAGAGGAGACCATCTGCAGAGGGATCAAGACTCTGAGTGGTGCCCTGGGTTGAGGGTTGACGTCTGGGCTTACCTCTGAATGCGGGATCCTGGTGCAAAGACCCCATGCTTCGGAGGACAGGTGAAGTACCGGACACCAAAGACTGAGCCATCATGCTTGCCCGTGGGCTGGTCCAGCTCGATGCCATACCAGTAACCTGCAGCAAGTGAGTGTTAGAATGCCTTGTGGGCCTGCGTGGACCCTAGTCTAGAGTCCCGCCCTCACCTGGTGCAAAGTCTGTTTTCCCGTAGAAGCGCACAATTCCCTGCTTCTGTCCCGCAACGAGGACTTGGTCTCCAACCTCAGCTTTGGCCCCCTCTCGCTGCTGCAGGCTGCCCAGAGATGGGGATGATGGGGACTTCTTCTTGCCTGGAGGTAGAGAGGACAAGGGTTGGGAGTGGGGACTCCAAACACCAACCTGGAGACCACCTGGAAAACTCCAGGGCAGGAATGCTGTCCTCGTTCCAATCAGGAATGTCAGAGCCTTCCCCAGAACTGCAGTGCTTTGGGTGTAAAGGGAAATTGAATCCCTGATGCCAGAAAATTCTATCTCCCAAATTAGGGGACAATCTTAGGCATGGGGAAACCACGTCACAGAACCTGAAGAACCTCAAATCCTTTCTCAGAGCTGAGATTCAGGCCAAGATGAAAATGAGTCACAGAATTCAGGAACCCAGAAATTGTCCTTTTGAAATGAATGTTTGGATCTGAGGATAAATCAAGTTATAAAGGCCAAGAAACCCACAGTTGGGCCTGAGGTGAAATTAAGTCGCAGAAGGCAGGGAATCCACAGGTCTAAGAACTGAATAGGGCCAGTATTTGGCCAAAGGAGAAACTGCATCATACAAGTAAGGAACTCAGAAATCTTCCTCTAAAATTGGAGTTTAACAATTAGTCCAAGGGACTAGTGGACCACGCAAACCTCAGCCTATGTGACCATGAGACCAGAAGAAGTAGATGGTGCCTGGCTACTACCACTGTCAACCACTTAGAAAGAGATCAGTGCAGGATCCTGGATAGAGTGGGAGAACAATGTGGAACAAAACTTAGAAAAAAGACCAGGTTTAATGGTCTGATAGAGCCTGGTGAGACCCCTGAAACTATGGCCCCTAGTTAACCTTCTGGTCTGGAATTGAACTCACTCCCGTGGCTTCCAGCCAAAACATAGACAGGCATATATGGTGAACATTTACATCAGATAGATACACACTCCTTAGAACTATCAATCATGGGAGAACAGAAGGATAGTACATATACAAGCAGACAGTTCAGGGGGCAGGGATGCACAGGAAAGAAGGACACAGGGAAGAGTAAGTGTAGGGAGGAAGTGGGAAGAGAACTGTTGTGGGGAATTGCAGTCAATGTCATGAAACAAAATGTGTATGAACTACTGTATGGAAAATGAATTTGCTCTGTAAACTTTCACCCAAATCACAATAAAAATTTAAAAACATAATAAAATTGGAGTTTTGAGAAGACACCAAGTCACAGAAGTTGAGGTACAAAGAAAATTTGCCCAAAACTGGCTCTCCCCACTTCTAGGGCTCCCCCTCTGACCTTTGTGCTCCCTACGGCCTTTGCCAGTGACACGGGAGAAATCCATCCGGGGAGTCCGAGGCGTGGAGGTTACGGATGAGGGTGGTGCATCCACCACCTTGGAGATCTTGGACACGGAGGCAAAGAGACCTGCAGGGACAGAGCTTGGGCTGGGAGTTGTCCAAACCTCTGCCATCTGCCCCACCATCACCTCCCAACCCCTATTACTATTACTCAGAACTGCTGAGAGGACCCCATCATCCACACCCATTCCTCTTGGGCCCCAGCTGGGACTCACCCTGCTTTGGGGGGCAAATGAAGTACCGGACACCCCCAACACTGCCATCATTCTTGCCCTCAGGTTCATCCAGCTCCACGCCCACCCACTGGCCGCTGGCGAACTCCGTGGTCCCACAGAACCGCAGTGTACCCGTCTGGGGAGACAAGGGGAACATGGCTTGAGGAGCTTTGGGAGGTCACTGGCAACGTGGTGGGTAGATGAAGGAGCTCTAGGGTCCAATCTCATTTGGAACATCACCATTTAGTGGCTATATGACTTAACCTCTCTCCTCAATCTCCTTGTCTGTGAAATGGGAAGCGAAATAGCAGCCACCGTACGAGAGTGTTATAGAGCTGTCCTGTCTGATAGTTAAGCAGCAACTAGCTACATATGACATTTAGATTTAATTACAACTCCATTTTCCCAGTCACCCTTGCCACATTTAAAGAGTTCAAACATCTGAACCCATTTAAATCTCATACATCCCTGTGAGTTGGGTACTATTATCACCCCCATTTTACAGATGAGAAAACTGATATCCAGAGAAGTGGAATCACTGTCCCCAGGTCGTGGCAAAGCTGAAGTTTGCCTGAGCAAAACCCCAAGCCTGAGTGGTACCCACTGTGATTATTATTATATGTCTTCAGCAAAGAGTTTGACCTCATGGAGCCTGTTACAGCCTTCTGGGCTATAAAATGGGGACAGTCATCTACTCTCCTTTCAGAATTATCACATGGATTCAATAAGATCACATGTGGGAAGCATTCTAGGGGGTGCTGACACATACCAGATTAGGAGGCCGACCTCTCCAACTCTCCCTCCTGGATAACTCCCCTCCGGCCACACTCCCCCTTCCCACCTTTGGGCCTGAGTGTCCCCTGTTTCTTCTTTGCAGGACTATCTCAGCTTGGCAATCAACTCCTCAGAGAGGCTTTCCTGGACCATCCCAGCTAAAACCACCTCTGCCCTCAGCCAGAGACAATTTAATGAATCCAGCCATTTAATGTTTTGCACAGTCCTCACTGCATCTTAAACATGGGTTCACTTTATTGACTGTCTCTCCTTCATTAAAAATGGAACTCCATGAGAGTAGGGCTGAGACAGATACTGCCCTTTATCACCAAGGATGGGCTGGGTCCAGCACAGCCTGAGGGGCAGCAGGAAGAAGATCTCTGATCCCCAAGCCTTTACACCCCTTCCCTTTACCTGAGACCCTATCCCCTTTCCTTCTAGTTCCTTCCACCTCATCTTCAAGTTGGGTGGATGCTCTACTCCACCCCACTCCCATCGCTCTGATCTGTGCTTTGCCAAAGCCCCGACCACTCTGGGAGTGGAGGGAAGAGCCACCACAAGAGCCAGCAGGACCCACAGGTGCCCAGAGTTGCTCTCATCACTCTCTTGTGTGCTTCCCTCATCACAGCCACAGCCAGTCTAGGCTGTCACTGTCAGGTGATGAGTCTGCCTTCCCACTTCAGACTGAGAATTCAGCATGGGGTGGGGCACAGAGGAGGGGCCACAGAACAATTGTTGGATGAAATAACGTTCAGTGGGAATGACTGGGAGGGAGAGCAGACAAAGGGGTGCTTGCACTCTGCCCAGGGACCCAGCTCTGAGGATGAGGGGGGCTGAGTACTTCCCCTCCCCCACCCTATCCCCCAGTCCCTGACCTTCTGGCCATCAAGCAGCACACGGTCTCCCAGACGCAGACCCAGGGCACTGAGCATGAGATTGCCTGGGACGTTGTCATAGTTGGGCAGTGTAACCTTGGGGAGGGCACAAGATAGTGGCACAGCCTCCTCTAGCAGTGTCCTCAGTTCCTTGGCCACCAGTGCTGCTTCTGCCTTGTCCAGGGACATGTCCATAGGGTCCGGGACCACCTCCGCCGGCACCTGTCCCTTTCGGTTCTGGGAGTCAATGGAAAGAGAGGGGATGGATACTCAGCAACACAGGGACACCATACCCCAGAGACCATGTGTCTGGGATGAAACGGGTGAGACTAGGTCATACCCTGGGCCAACATGGAAATAAGAAGGGACAGCTCATTAATGTTCAGACCACATCTTTAGGGAAGTCCACTCCTGAGACCCTGGGCTGGGGATGTGTGTCAAGGAATTGAGGGTGGGACATGAGTGAAGCCAATGCGGAATGGGGGACATATCTCAGTGCTGTAGGTCATGTCCTCATAGAGGCCATACCCCAGACTCCAAGCCCAGAATGATGTCATGTGGGGGAATGAGCACTGAGAATGTGCTAGTGTATTAGGGATCAGGAATCACATTCTGGGCCAGAGGGTAATGAAGACAGACAGGGCCTCAGGGGCAAGACCATGACCCCCAGGATATCCGTGCCTGGGATGCAAGGTGATTGGTATTGGGGATGAGACTTGGTAAGAGAGGGATTGGGGGTGAAGATCTTATGGAGGGCTTACAGAGAGCCAAGCACTCTCATTCCTAGAAGCCCTCAACTCTACTCACCTCATGATCTCTAAATGCTGTCTACAGAGCCACAGCTTTGGCTAAGATTGAAAAAAAAAGATACTCCTTGCTGGATGAACCTGGGCAAGTCCTTTAATCTGTGTGCCCACCATACTGGGCTGCCTGTTGTAAAAAAGGGCTCATAACAGACCATCTGATAAGTAATGAGCACCAAGTTTCAGCTAACACTTAATTGGTTGAATGTACAGATGATTTTGTGAAAAGCAGGTGGTTCTGGGCCCCTCATCCTCTGCAGAGACCTGTCTGGCAGGGAGGGGAGAAGGAGGAGGGTACTGGGGGCAGGGCCAGGGTGGCTGTACCCGAAGCGCTGGGTTGGCACCATGCTCCAGCAAACACTTGGCGGCACCCAGGCATAGGCTGGAGGCAGCAATGTGCAGGGCTGAGCCATGGTTGAAGTCACTGCACGTGGAGTTCACCACTGAGAGGTAAGCAAGAGGAGAGTTCAGGCTGAGTGGCCTTGCGGACCCTGGCCCCTACTCTCAGCCACTTGCAGTTATCACTTAACCCACAGGCTCCAGTGCCTCCTGCATCCCCTGACTCAGAGCCTCGCCCCCACCTCAGAGCCCCACCTCTTGCTTCTTAGCCACTCTCCTCACCAGGTCTTGCCAGTCCCTTGGGGACCACTGAGTAACATCTGCCTCCAACCTCCCACTCAATCTCATGTCCTGGTGCCCTTTCCTCTTCCAGCCAGACTTCAGTTCTGTCCATCATTCCTTCACCTACACCCCACTTCATTCACTCCACATCCTCGCCTCCTCAGACCCTGGGTGCTCTTTTCCTCCTCCAGCCCTTCTCCTGTGGATCCTGCCCCTTTCCAGTGAGGCTCCTTCCCCTTACCTCGTGGCCTTGCACCCTTGAGCAGCACACGCACCAGGTCTGGTACATCGAAATAGGCCGCATAGTGAAGTGCGTTCATGTTGGTCCAACGGCTGCGCAGGGTCACGTCGGCACCCAGTGCCAGCAGCTGTTGTGACAGGCGCACAGCCGCCGCAGGGTCCCCTGTGTGATGGCCCAGGTCAACTTGGGACCCCTATCCAGAGTGTGGGTCCAGGGCACAGAGAGGATCCTGGGCCTCAGGGGCTGCACTTTGGGGTCTTAGGCTCAGGGTTCAGAACAAGACCTAGGTTCTGGTAGTTTTAAGGGTGTCAGGTCTGAGAACCTGGGGTTTGGGGCTCATGGTTTGAGGGTGTGAGCTCTTACCGACTCCATGGGCCCCAGCCTTGCATGCATAATGGAGCAGCGTCATGTCGGTCAGCCCATCACGATCATTCACATGGCATCCTCGACGCAGAATCTGGGAGTACCATGGGACAGAGGGTTATCCAAACATATGGGGGACCCCTCCCTACTCCGTTTGGCTTTCCCAGTGCTCTTACCTCATTGCCAATGACATCAATCTTGTGCTGGACTTGGGGTACCCACTGGCGCACAATGGCAAACAGCTCAGGGATGGTGGTCTGGGGGTCAAACAGAATCTCCTGGCACGCCGGGTCATTGGGGTCGAAGAAGGTGAAGGCTGGAGTGATAAGAGTCCAAAGTCACCCCAGGCAAGGTGACCATCCTGAAGCAAGAGAACTACAGGTCTTTGCCTTTAAGACCTTCTAATGCAGGGTCTCAAACTGGTAGCAAATGGGCCATAGTCAAGCCATAGGCATTTTCTGTGTGGTTTCAAGATCAGGAAGTTTTACATAAAAATCTGGATGGCTAGTGCATCTCGAAAAATCGGTCAGGCAATTCTTATACAGCAGGAAGCCCCACCCCATGAAACCAGAGTGTGGTAAGGAGTACAGCACTCCAGAGTCTGTATACCCACGGGGGCTGCTACTGCTGTCATCCATGTTGCCTTGTCAGTTTGGGCATGTGTCCAAATCTCCAGAGTAAAAATTAAAATGCCAGAAATCCTCCCTTTTAAGAAAAATCTCCCAAGTTTTCAAATACTGTGCAAATAAAGTATCCATGGGCAGGACCCAACCTGTGGCCAGCCAGAGTGATACCCAGAGGAACCGGCACCTCCCTTCATCAGACTGGCAGAGTCAGAGCAGTGATGAATGTCGGTCTCAGCAGCAACATGAGCACCAGCACAAGAACGTGGCATGCGGCAGGAACTCGGTGGGTGTGCAATGAGTAAATTAATAACTTGATCACACAGAGCCCAGGAAAGTGCCATATAGGAATCGTCCATGTGCCCCTTTTAAAACCCAAGCCACGTCATAGTCTTCCGTGACTGAGAACGCTCTCCTGGCTTCCACTGCACTCAGAGTACAAAAGTCCTTACCATCGCTCACAAGACCCTGCACAACTTGCCTCCGTCACTGTCCTGCCCTCTCCCCGTCACTCATTCCCCTCCAGCCGCATTGATCTTTGTCCCTCCAAAATGCCAGGGAAATTCCTGTTTCAGTGCTTTTGCCCTTGCTGATCCCCATCTTGGGCCACCCTCCCTCTCCCCACCCCATTAGGAAGTCTTCCTTAAGATCTTCACAAGGTTTTGCAGGTCTTTGCTAAAATGCCCTCTCTTTAGAGAGGCCTTCCCTGACCTCTGTGTCTAAATCAGCACCCCTGTCCTTCACTATCTCCTCCCCTATTTTTAATCATAGCACACACCTCTACTTAACCTAATTCGTTTATTCCTCCCCCACTCCTTGTCCCTTCCTCTCCTCCTCACTCCCTTTCTGCTTCTCACTTGTCCCCCTCATCAGAAATGTACCCATCATGTTTCTTTCCTGCCTTAGTCTCTGTCTTATCCCCAATCCCAGCACAGCACCTAGCACCCAGTAGGTGCTCAGTTGATCTCTATGGAGTTAATGCAAAAACAAACACTACTAGTTCTCTGGAACCCACCTTAGCCCTCTCTGTGTCCTAAACCACATTTCCTGATTCCTTTACACTCTGTAATCAAACCCTCCTTATTCTACAGACAGGATCCTTTGGGGGCCCCAGCCCAGACCCTCTTCCTCCCCGATCACAGGCCCCAGTGACATCCAGCCTTGTTTTCCATGTTGATCCCTCCATCCTGAGCCCCTAAACAGCTTCCTTATTCTTATATCAACTTAGAGCCTCTCTAAGCCACTTCCCGAAAGTGACAAGCCTGCAAATGCCATCCTTTCTAACCCACTTTGGCATCTGAACCTGGTGCCTAGTTTCTGAACCTCACAATTGCTGGGGACTCTCAGCCAAGGTCTTCTACACTTCCTCCTGTATCCAACTCTGGCTGAGTTCCAGCACTCTCTACTCAGCAGCCAGAGGGAGCTTTTAAAAATATAAATCAGACCCTACCACTCCTCAGTTTTTACACCGTTGTCTCCCCATCAGCTAGGAGACATCAGGAGTCCTCCCTGTGGCCTTTAAGGCCCCTCCCCTTTTGACTGTTACCAACCTCCCACCTTAACTCTGATCATTTCCTGACTGCAGCCCCATGATGTTCTTTCTGTTCCAAGTCAATCCAACTTCATGGCATTTGCCCATGCTGCTCTGTGCCTGGACTATTTCTCCAGCTCCGCCACGGCTGATTCCTCCTCACGCTCTATGTCTCAGCTGAAACACCACCTCCTCAGAAGGATCTGCCCCAACCACTCTGTCTCAAGTAGCTGCCCACCAGCCATTCTCTATTACACCTCCACCTTTTATTTCTTTCACGGTACTCATCCCGATGCAAGTTTACCTGGCTTATCTATTCACTTGTTTATTGTTAGTCCCTCCACTCCTGAGAGCAGGGACCATGCCTGGATCGCTCACAATTAAATCCTATCACCCAGCATAAGGCTTGCCACAAACTAGCACTGGACAAATGCTGCTTGGTGTATGATTAGCCTCTTTCCGTTTCTCCAGAGGGCCACACCCTCCTACCTCAGGGCCATTCCCTCTCCTGAGACCCTCGTCCTACCACCCTTTCCCTGGTCAATCCCCATTCACCCTTGGGTCTCCCTCAAATGTTAACCTCCTCAGGGAAACCATATCTTAAAAACCCCTTGCAGCATCCTGTTCTTGGTAAACACAAACTTCATCATGCTTTCTAATTATATATTTATGTTTTTACACTTATTTCTGTGTTTGTCATTGAGGTTTGTGAGTTCTCTTAGGGGAAAATCTGGGTCTATCTTGCCCCCAGCTCTTGATCTATCTTGATCCCCAGCTGGGATCACAGTAGATGTTCATTAAATGTTTGTTGAATGACTAAACTAGCGACTGATATATTATAAATCAAAGATCAGGCTTATTCCATTCCATGCTCTGATAGGTGAATTACTGAACTAATGAAGAGGGGCTCTAATTCCCCTCCCCCAGCCCCTCAACCATCACCACCAACAGAGTTCGGCCCACCCTCCCTGGCCACTAAGGCTCCAGGCCAGATTCCAGGGTGTGGAGAGTGGTTACCATAGTCTTTGGGGAGCGGGGCAGGCGCAGAGGGGTGCACCACAGGCTTCTGCCGGCGCTCCTGGGTGGGGCTGGGGGCCTCCGGGACGGTCTCCTCTTCCTCCTCTTCTTCCTCCTCCTCCCGGGGCGGTGGGACCATAGGGGCAGGATCTGTCTTAGTCATGGTCTTGAGTGGCCCCTGGGGGTGGGGGTGGGGGTGAGGGAAGAGTTGGGGGCGGCCTTCAAGCAAATCTTCAGGCAGGGATCGGCTGGAAAGGACACTCCCCAGGTTTCGGGGATCTGACCTCCCAGAAGCTCCCAGGCCCCAGCTGGCTTCTGTCCCCCAGTTCTGTCCCCCCCGTTCTGGATCCCCTAACAGAGGCCCCGGTATGTGGGCCCAGCCCCACATTATCTCCTCCCGTTAGGCCCTCAGTCTCTGCCGCCCCCTCCCAGGATTTGTTTATCTCAGGATGCAGGATGCTTCGCCCCTCCCCTTCTCCGCGGGCCCCTCTCCTTCCAAGCTTACCTTTGGCGCTGAGGCTGGAGACCAAAGCCGAGACTGGGGACCCCGTGGGAGTAATGGGGTTCAGGGGACGTGATGGGGAAGGAGAGGGAGACAGAGAGGGGACAAGGCCCAGACGCTGATAGGAGATGGGGGTGGAGAGGGAGGGGCGCCAACAGCGCATGCGTCCTGTTACCCCCAACCAGGAGCGGGGGAGGAGATTCTGGGAGTCAGCTCGCATTGATGAAGAGGCTGGTGGCAGCGACTGGAAGGAGATAGACACGGAGGGCGGGGAGAGGAAGAACAGATGGCAACGGAGAAGGATGGGAAGCACGGAGATAGAAGAGAGATGAAGCAGAGTCGGGGGCAAAAGACAGGGAGGTGAAGCGGCCCTAGGGCTTTTTGTCCATCTCCTTCGTAACAGAGCCTTCCTTCAGACCTGAAAACCACACCAGTCAGCGCAAGAGTCAGGGTGTGTGGTGGCAGGTGTTCTCTCTCCGAGACCTCAGCCCTGATCTCATACTCCATGCTTGCCCCATATAAGGGGTGTCTCAGAAGGGTGATTTTGTAGAGATTATCATAATCATCATGATCATACAACGCTCATAGAGCATTTACTAGGCCTAGAGAAGTTAAGCCACTTGCCCAAGGGCACAGAGCAAGTAAGTGGTGGGGCTAAGACTCGAAACCCAGGCAGCCTGGAAGCAGAGTCTCTACTCTTAATCACCATGCTACATGGCCGTAGGGGTGTCTAGGGAACAGACCTGTCAATGGATCCCTTCAGCCCTCTCAGAACTTGTTCTCCAGAAGCCCTTCTGAAGCCAGCACAGGGCCCTGGCCTCCCTAGCTCCTTTACCCTGGCGTGGCCTTTCCACCGGGACTGGGTTGTCTGCTCAGATGTGTCCTATTCTGCCTATAATTACACCAACCTGAACAGGACTGGATAGCTTTGTCCTTCATCCTTCTAAAGGTAGGCCCAGCAACTCCAGCTCCAAAATATTTCCAGAAACTGATGATCCACCCCAGCTTGGGCCATCATCCTAGTCCATACTCCATCCTTTTCCTCCCTGGTCTATCTCCGCAGCCTCCTCACTGTTCTCTCTTCCCCTCACAGTCTGTTTTCTACATAGAGCTACTAAACAACAACAACAACAAAAACCCACTGCCATCAAGTCAATTCAGACTCATACAGACCTCCATTGTGTTTCCAAGGTGGTAAATTTTTACAGAAGTAGTGGCTGGGGTTTGAACCACCAACCTTCTGGTTAGTAGTCAAAATGCCTTAGGAATTGCACCACCAGGGCTCCTTACATGCAGCTATAGGTACCTATTAACATTCACCAGATCAGGGACCTCCTCAACTCAGAGGCCTCTTGTTGCTGCATCTCACTCCAGGTAAAACCCATTCTTCTCACCACAGCCTATAAGGCCCTATGTGAATTTTCCCTGTCATCTATCCAATCTCATAATCTCACCTCCTCCCACTCTCCTTACTCACTTTATTGTGTTTTGTTG